CAATCCAGGAGTCTTGAACACTACTACCTCAGCTGTCTTCGAAGGATATGAAATCTGAGGTTGCAGCACAGAATCTCGGATACAGAAGTCCTAGAATGGAACATGTTGAGGGAACTTCAACTGCATTGGAGCGGTCATCTCGCTAGGATGAATGTCGAGCGTCAACCCCAGCGATTATTCTACGGCGACACCGTCACCACTGCTCGCCGACAGGGAGAGAAAAACGACGCCAAGCGGTCGACCGAAAGACCTCGCTCATGGACGTTCAAATCAACTCCGAGACCTGGGAGTACCTTGTCTAAGGTAGGCCGGGTTGGAGAAAGGCAGTGAGGCTTAGAGAAATAATCTACGAAGACAAACGAACCTTCAATCCGAACACTCGAGTACTTTCATCGTTTGCACGCTGTTAACAGTCATTCCGTGCGCAGATCATCCTCGTCGACAATCTTAGCACCTGTAGTGGTCAAGGGTGCAATATCAACTTAAACCACATACACTAATTTTGCTCCGATTAGTAACAGAAGTCAGAAAGTTGTGGGGACAGGTTTATTCTGTACACAGGGCAAGTCGCCGTAAGTTGGCTGTATGCTTGTGACAGAGATAAGCGTCCGTTCACGCAGAGCGTCAGTCGCGGTGTGTAGATTACGCGAGGGTGAAAGTCAGTGTCAGTAGGTGGAGGTGACTGGCTGAGTGCCGCTCATGAGATTGGATGGATTAGGGGACGTATAATCAGAGAGGCTCACGGGTATCAAGTCAGGTCGTCGGACGCGCGTGAGACGGGGATGGTCGTGTGTCAACGACTGTCGTGCGGCCATCGACTGATAAAACGGTGCCCCTGAAAAGGGGGACTGGAGCGGCTGCTACGAGTATCCGAGTTTCTAAGAGCAACAATTTACGCACCCTTGATGATTATTGGCGTGATAATCATCCGGATAATGTCACTGGAAGCGTCGTTTGCCAGCGCGCCCTCCATTAGATCAATTACTTCTCCCCGGAAAAGTCTCAGCGGTGAATAGGGCGGAGGAGGTCACTGCGGTCTGCAAAGGCAAGACTCAAGCAGCCCGTGAATCCCGCAGTTACCATCTCTCCCGAAAATGTCGACCTCGTCGAATTTAAAGGCGAGGAACACCCCACGAAACAGGCCGCGACCTGGAAGTTGGTGTCACTCCTCCTCACTGCTGCTACTGCGTGTTCGGCCACACGGTCACAACCTCTTCTTCTTTATCTTCTTCTTAACTGCCTTCCAAAACTCATCTTTTTACATGTATCAACGGTCACATCCACCCAATCATCAGGATGGATTACTAACTGCCACTACCATTTGAGGACGCGTATAATTCGATCGTTAGGTACTCCCAACATTTTTTCGAAATGTATCTCACCACAACCCCTTTTCAGTGGTTGTCAGACAGCTTCCCTGAAATTACTGACCGGAAAGGTGGTTCTGTTCAGCGCACACCGCATAGCTCCTAACCAGTAAACTCGTCTCATAATTAGACGTTATCAAAAATAACAGGGCGACATCCAAATCGTTTTGACTAAAACGCGACATGAAGAAGAAGAAGAAGACACGATCGCCGGGACAAGAGCTTTATTAGCCTGACGTTTCGGATTCCTGCTCGAATCCATCATCAGAGACATAAGCAGATAAGGGTGGTTCATGCACATGCGATTGCTGTATTTATAGGATGCAGTAGCCATGCTACCGCATACCTATTAATATTCACGGCTCCCTCCCCTTCATCAGGGATCGTTGCACGTGGCGTGATGGCCGACATTCGCCTCGTTAATTGCTGCAATTTCACCACGTGCGTTGGATGGTGGTGTGATGATTGCTCGACCATCTGACGCGCTGACCAGGGTGTTGGGAAGAGTGTTCAGCAGTGCGCTCCCCGCGTGGCCAATTACTCCGCCTAGACGAAGTCTCAGCACGCTGTATTGAATGGGAAGATCATTGCACTTGTTAATAGACTGGGGACCAGTAAACCATGACTCAAGCAGCTCCAGGCTCACGCGGTTGTCACCACTTGCGAGAATTTCGGCCTCGTCAAATTTGAATGTGCGGCCGGAACCGGTCGCAGGAGCCGCAACTTGAGAGCTGGCATCATTTCTCCGCACCGCTGCAGCGTGTTCGGCCATTCGCGTTCGGAGCTGTCTTCCGGTTTCTCCGACGTAGTTGCTTTGTCCGCGACAGTTATGCTCGAGCCGAGGACAAGGTAACCTCTGTCACTCACGGGGCCCATTTAATTCATCCCCAAATGCCTCATGCTCTTCTAAATAATGCAAAATAAGCTGAAGTCGCGGTTTCACAAAGAAAGTTGAGAGAATGGGAGGAAGAAAACAAAAATTTCTTTTACATATGGGAGGAGGGACGTAGTCCTCTAACCCATTCGGACTTGATAGTAATTTCTGTACTTTACAGACTTCCGATGCCCATTTGAGGACTGAAAGACAAAATAAAAATGAACTGCAGAATCAGCGTGGATAAGAACAAGAAAATGTCATTAAAGGCTTTTTGAGACGTTTACAAATACGAACGTGAAATACGATTCGAAGGACCTGCTGGAGTCCTTGGGGTATGTAAAAAGAGGTGGCTGAAATTGATTTTACGTCGTTTACACAGTTCTGGTAAAAACCGAGAATACGACCGCAATAGAAAAGAGCTTAAAATATTTTCTCACACTGGGAAGATAGGTGAGAAGTTGGTCGTAAAGAAACAGTTGTTTATGAACTTTTTGCTTAGAAGCATCTACTGAATGGCGACGGTCAGGTTAAGGATTATAGGCAGTTTTAGGATACTTAGAGTTAGGCCTGCCGCTGGGGCTAGGACCAGGATTAACTTAGGGTTCAACCGTAATCATCTAACACTAAGTCAATAACTATAACGGCATGTATGTAGATATGATCATAATTAACTAGTAGTTGAGGTAACCGCAGAAATGTAGAAACCACCGCTACTAATATGAGAAAACGTAGTAAGGAAAATTAGGAAAACGTCGTCACGGTTTTTCAATGGAGCAGCCTCTGGAACATATTGAGAAATGAAGGTTTTACGTGAAGGATGGGACACAGGGTAAGATTTAGAGTCAGTTATAGGGCTAATTAATTTGGACTAGCATGATTGTTGGGTGATAGATCAGGAACTGGGCTTAGAACCAAAGACAATCCCAACAAACCAAAATCTGTATACCGGATTCTAATTCAGTAAACCTCGCGGCAAGTCATAGTTTTAAGTAAAAAATACCAGCTATTCAAACGCGACATAGTAGGACAAATTATTCGGTATAATTAACTAGGAGGGTTAATCAGGGTACGTCTTACCGCAGGTAATAACCAAAAGCAGCGATCCATGCTATGTCAGCTTCCACCCTCTGTTTGCCGCAACTGCATTAGCTTCCGTTCATGAGCGTTTTCACCAAAGTTTCCTACGTATTTGTTGACAGTTTTCCAACAAAGTCAAGTTAGCAAACACATGTTTTCGGTAACTCATCATCGGGCCGATGCACTTACATAGAAGGCTTATAAGTGTCCCAGGGCTTGTTAACATTCATCGTTTCCACGCCACCTGGCATGACGAGGTCTGCGTGTTGTGGTCATTGCGACAAGTGGGGAGGGGGAGACATGGGCTGTGAGTGGTGTTTGCAAGTCGAGTACGTGGAGTACACATCACTGTCATCAGGGGTTGGGGCGACTCGCAATAACCATCTTGGGTCGGCGTTGGCCACGGAAAACAGAACGCCCGCGTCTTCTGACAACATAGCGTTGGGTTTTCTAGCCGTATAACACTTGTCTCGGCTATAGCTAGTGCCCCGTGGCGTAGGGCTTTGGAGGAGCTTGCCGGTGTCCAGAAGACAACCTGAAAGACTTCTTTGACGTCGACTCGGTGATTCGTATCGACTAGGTATGCGGAGATAGGACTCTAAATCGAGCTGTCTTCGCCTGTGCCTAACCAAGCTGGTGTGTGTTCTCTTACCATCTTTTCCACGGGTCTTGCTCTATGACCAGTGCATGCCGCACAACAGGAGCAAACGAACGAATAAATCTAAATAGCGCAACATTACCGAACCGCACCGACTCCAAATTGTGGTGAATGTTCCCATATCTCAAGAGCATCTCAGGGGCTGTTAACCGCCTTCGCGAGAATTGGAGTTGCACGCAGACCATAAGCAAGTGCCAGGCGTCAAGTAATGGGATCGGAGTTACTTCCACCGGAGAACAATTGTGATAAAAGAAAATAACTGGTGAAATATATTTACACGTGCCAGAGAGAGAAATAAAAAGCTACCGCGGTGGCTGTTGTGTGAGGGTGGTCAAGATGCTTTAAGGTTGACATCGGAGTAAAAATACGACAATACAATGCATTTTGACAATGCCTTTATTTACTAATATAATCATATGGTAAAAGTAATCTTCCCTTTTCAATAATGACCATATGGACGATAGAAAATTGTGACATCACAAAGTTCCTAGATGTGTAGCCATATTGCCCTCCGAAAATGCTCTCCAGAATAAGTAAATCCGGCTATCAACCATACCCTTGCCGTTTTCTGCATCGCAAACAGTAATGAACAAAGCACCAACTTCGGGGAAATTAAGAGATAATCCCAGACGCGGATGACTGAACACACAGCAACAAGAAGAAATGACGCCGGATTACAAACTGCAGCATATCCAACAAAACCGGCCCATAAAATCAAGATCAACGCGGCCTAAACTTTAGGAAGAGGCAGCTAACGTATGAGCCCTGATCTCCTAGAGTCAGGGTTCCATGGTCCGAAGTTGATTAACGACCGCAGTGATCTCAACACAGTCTCATCCTGACGAACACGTTCTTCTCTCTGCCGGAGCGAGAGAAGGCCACTTGGAGGCATCCTCGGTCGCGTCAGTGGCACCTGTTGGACTATGTCCTCGTCCGGAGGCAAGACCAGCAGAACGTGCTGGTGACAAAGGCGATCGCGGGTGCTGACGGGTGGACCGACCATCGCCTCGTCATCTCGAAGATGCGTATTCGCCTACAGCCTCGCAGGAGACCACAAGGTAAGCGACCCCCAGGTAAGCTGAATGTTGCCCTGTTGTCTTTGCCCGCTCACCATCTTCATTTCAGCAATGAGCTAGCTCAACGGCTAGACAACCTTCCAATCGCTGCCGCCGCCACCGACGCCGCCGCCGCTGCCGAGAACGCCTCCGTGGAGAACCGCTGGTGTCAGCTGCGAGACACAGTCCAGTCGACGGCGCTATCCGTCCTCGGTCGCGCTCCCAGCCAACACCAGGACTAGTTCGACGACAACGACGCCGCCATCAGAAATCTGCTAGCTGAGAAGAACCGCCTACACAAAGCCTACGTAGATCACCCCACTGATGCCACCAAAGCTGCCTTCTACCGCAGTCGCCGCCAACTTCAGCAACGACTGCGCGAGATGCAGGACACCTCGACTGCTCGCAAAGCTGAGGAGATCCAAGGATACGCGGACCGCAACGAATGGAAGAACTTCTTCTCCGCTATCAAAGCTATCTATGGTCCGCCGACGTAGGGCACTGCTCCTCTCCTCAGCACCGACGGTAGGACTCTCCCGACTGAAAAGACGCAAATCCTGCAGCGATGGGCCGAGCATTTTCGAGGCGTCCTCAACCGCCCTTCCGCCATCTCCGACGCCGCCATCGAGCGTTTGCCGCAAGTGGAGACCAACGTGGACCTCGACCTCCCACCATCTCTCCAGGAAACCATCGGGGCTGTGAAGCAGCTCTCCAGCGGGTAAGCACCCGGATTGGACGCAATACCTGCTGAGGTCTACAAGCACGGAGATCCCCAACTCATGAATCACCTGACTGCGCTCTTCCAGATGTGGCGTCAAGGTGAAATCCCGCAAGATTTCAAGGACGCAACTATCGTGCATCTCTACAAGCTAAAAGGGAACCGCCAAGTCTGCGATAATCACCGCGGCATCTCCCTGCTGAACATCGTCGGGAAGATCTTCGCTCGCATTCTTCTCAATCGTCTTAATAATCATCTGGAACAGGGCCTTCTGCCGGAGAGTCAATACGGTTTCCGTCGTCATCGCGAACCACGAATATGATCTTCGCCGCCCGTCAACTTCAGGAGAAGTGCCAGGAGATGCGGACCCACCTGTACTCTACCTTCGTGGACCTGACGAAAACCTTCGACACGGTGAATCGTGAAGGACTGTGGAAGATCATGCAGAAATTCGGCTGTCCGGAGCGATTCACTCAGATGGTGCGTCAGCTGCACGACGGTATGATGGCGCGAGTCACGGACAACGGAGCTGTCTCAGAGGCATTCGCAGTGGCCAATGGAGTGAAGCAGGGCTGCGTACTGGCGCCTACCCTCTTCAGTCTTATGTCCTCTGCCATGCTGATGGACGCCTACCGCGACGTACGCCCCCGGATCCGTATCGCCTACAGGACGGACGGTCACCTTCTGAATCAACGACGGATGCACTTCCAATCGCGCGTATCCACAACCACCGTTCACGAACTTATCTTCGTCGACGATTGCGCCCTGAACATCACCTTGGAAGAGGAGATGCAACGCAGCATGGACCTATTCTCCGCCGCCTGTGAGAACTTCGGTCTGATTATCAAAACGCAGAAGACGGTGGTCATGCATTAACCGCCACCCAACACCGCCACTCCCCCTAACGCGCCGCAAATCAGCGTGAATGGGACCCAACTGCAAGTGGTGGAGAACTTCCCGTACCTGGGCAGTACCCTCTCCCGCAAAACCAAGATCGACGACGAAGTCGCCAACAGGATCTCGAAAGCCAGTCAAGCCTTCGGAGCGGAGACTTGGACGGTGTACGCAAAGCAGGCACGCCGACTGAACCACTTCCATCTCAGCTGTCTTTGTCGCATCCTGAGGCTGAACTGGCAGGGCCGCATCCCCGACACTGACGTGCTGGAACGGACGGGAATCCTCAGCGTCTACAACATGCTGAGACAAATGCAGCTGCGTTGGAGCGGCCACCTGGTGCGCATGGACGACGAGCGACTACCCAAACGACTCTTCTACGGAGACGTCGCGACGGGTTCTCGCCGTCAAGGAGGCCAGATTCACCGTTACAAGGATACCCTGAAGTCCTCCCTGAAGCGTCTGCAAATCAACCCGACCAACTGGGGAGAGCTCGCACTCGACCGACCGACCTGAATGAGGACAGTGAAGACAGGCGCTGCGATCTACGAAGCCAACCGCATCGCCGCCGCCAAAGCGAAACGCGAAACCCGAAAATCACAATTTCACCCAGTCCGCAACGCCGATGCACAACCGCTAACTACGTGTCCTCGATGTCAGCGGACATTCAGGACTCGAATCGTACTTGTTGGACACCTGTGGATCAGCTGCGCCCCTCGGACTGCACCAACCATCGTCCCTCCGCCCGCCTCTTCCCCGTTCGCTCCGCCGCCAACTAACTCTGGCAATTCTTCTGAACCACAACTTCCATCCTCCTCCTCCTCCTCCTCCTCCTCCTCCTCCTCATCCTCATCCTCATCCTCATCCTCCTCCTCCACAACCGCCCCAACGACGGACGCCCGGACGGCCGCCTCGCACATCACCAACCCTGACATAACAACCGGCACCACCCCGACTTCCTCTGACTCCAGCAATGAGGATCAGGACTAAACCTGTCCTCACTGCGACCGGACCTTCACCTCACGCATCGGCCTGGTCGATTACTTGCGAATCCATCGCACAGAGACTGGCAAACCTGTGCCTGTGGCACAAACCTACACCCACCTTATCCCCCAATTAATATTTACAGCGAGGCGGGACTACAGAGAATGCGGGTAGATTGGTACAGTACTGTTTCTGGCTTATCTTGCCTTCATTCAGCCAATTATTTCCCTGCCCACCATCTGGGACCGGATATAGGGATTAAATAAATCTTTTCTCTTCGATCTCAATCGTATAATTTCCTATCGTTATCAACCATGTTCGTCATTGTGCCCTAAACCCGTGCGATAATGTCGGCATTTTTCATAATCTGGGCTGTCCGGACTGTGCTTACGTTACATTTCGTTAGGCGGATGAATGTGTAGGAGAGTGCGCCCGGGGGAGGACTTAGTTTATTTTTCCAGCAGCGAGTAGCAATGTGTTGAATATATCAATGTTCACCTTATTTATTTGATTTCCACTGTCTGTAAAATGCCCTGGACTTGAGGTTGGAGGACGTGGATTGCTTGATTCGTGGTTTGTGTGCATGTTGCTGGCCAGTAAATTTGGATTTTATTCAGTAATATTATGGAGAGGAGAATGAATAAGTTTTCTCCTCAAGCGAGAGCTATAGATTTGGGTAGGAGCAGTTTCCTGGGCCGTCACCATGTGTTGGCTGATGGGCGATGTTACATCTGAGTTTTTCACTGACAACTGCAGAGTCGCTGACTATAGGTCCCATGCAAGCACAACCTGGCAAAGTGTTAACGCGCGAAATCCGTGCGACATCCAACCTGCTTTTTCTCCCACAGTGCGAAGTAATCGTCACGATATGTATCCTCACTCGCGAAATCGGCGTTCGGACTAAGATTTTCCATGAATAGCTCACCCTAAATTAAATGTTATATAGACAAACGAAGTAGACTCAGAAATGTTAACTATGAACTCCGTATTTCTGCCAAGTTCTGATTAATAAAAAAGAGAAATAAAGTTGACAACCTTATATGGCAGAGCCAAACCAATGGCGAAAATAGACCTAGTCGTTTGCATTGTCATGCTTACTTGTATGCCTCGAACGAGTATATAACACTGTGCTCGTTAAAGATGCACAGCAAAGATCTTCAAGCCTTTTGATTGAGGGAATAAAGCTTCTGCCGTTGAGCTCCCTATTTCCA